TAAAGAAACAAAACAAATAGGGAGAGAGTTGTCATGAGAATCCAAGCTATTAGAAAACATCTCATCATGGCAGAAGGGACAGGAGGGATTCTTATTTTTTGAAGATTGCCCATACAGGCAGCTGCGGAGCGTGGAGTCATGAGATCAAGTAAAAAATACCCCTTGAGAGAGGCCAAAGAAATGCATCCTTGTTGCTCAATGCGCGTGGGGAGCAGTAAGAAGGAGCCTAAATTACGCTGCTTAAATTACACTGCCTAAAACGTTTCTGTGATAAATGGTACAAGAACCCTAGGAAAGACAGGAGCAGTGCTACACAGGCTGCCCAATTCTGCACACACATAGAGTTCTGCATGCTGGTAGATCCAAAAAATAGAAAGCATTAGACCCTCTCACCTCTGAGAAATCATAGCAAAGCACAGCAGCGTTTCAGGACCTGAACCCTCAAGTCTTCCATTCTTCAGCGGGGCAATTCTTTCTCACAAGTGTAATGCCATTCAGCTAACAAAACAAGGATGATACTTGCATGCAAAATACTCATGCTTAACTACTTCAAGTTCCTCTTTGAACATAAAACCTTGCTTTATTGCTGTTCCACAGTTGCTACTTCAGAAAATGGACCAATGTAAAAATGTGAAAAGTGGGACACTTCTGCACCTGTTCAGATTCGTTGCTCTCTTCTGCAAATGTTCTCTTGATTTATACTCCAAGTTAGATACAAAAGTAGGAGTGCTGAGTTGGTACAAGGAAGGAGAAGTGACCAACAAACCCTACAACTACTTGAACACCTTGTTTTGCAGTGCGAAATGTGATAGTGGCATACAAGCCTGGTTCCTGAAAATATTTTCAGAATATCTCTGTGTTCTGTCTAATTCCAACTGTTGATATTTGTATATGTGTTTATACGTAAAAATATAGTGTTAACACTCTGTGTTCCATGACAAATTTCTGAAGCATTCACTCTAAAACAATGTATATCTAAATATCTAAACTTCTGGATTTTTTCTCCTCAATCTATGGCCTTCCAGGTCTGGAAGTACCAGAAATCAATGAGGAGCAATGCAGAATGTATAACAAAGCTGTGATCAGCTGGGAGTCCTCCAAGAAGACAGACTCTGCTGAAATGTACGTTCTTCAGTATCGCAAGCTTAGTAGAGAAGAGGAGAGTGTGATGTGGCAGGAGGTTGAAGTTTGCAGCAAGAGCAAAGTCATACCTGATCTTGATGAAGACAGTAGCTACGCCTTTAGAGTTCGAGGATACAAAGGGTCCATGTGTAGCTCGTGGAGCAAAGAAGTTATTTTGCGTACACCTCCTGCTCCAGGTACTGGCTTTGCTTATGTCCACCTGCACTGGAAACCACCTACAGTTCCCAGGCTTCTATCCCATTACTGGTTGTATGTATATGCATAGAAGCACTGTAATAAACAGGTTAATTATCATACTGCGATTATTAGCCTGCATGACAACACTAATAGCTTTTCATAGTGAGAATTTCTAATGCCGATGTACGTTAAGATGCAGTTTGTAAGCACAGAAAGCCAAAAAATGCTTAACTAACAGCAGACTCTTGGAATACTATTTTTCAGTTCTTAGCTTTCTTTTTGATGACAAATGCGCTGTCATGGATTTGTGATTTTTGGCTTTCAGTATTCCACATCTGAACATCATGTGGGGCACTGGGACTTTAACTGTTAGTGCTCAAGTCCTGGGTACCTGCCCTGAAGAGAAGAAGAACTACATTCCCCAGGGGACCTTGTGGTCAGGGAGAGGAGGTTTAACTCCTGGCAAGGTCACTTGAGTTCTCTTTCTGGCCTGCCCTTCGTCGTGGGCGCTGCTCCCGTCTCCCTGCTGCTCAACTGCACTGCGCATCTCACCTCAGCGTTGTGGTGAGGCCTATCCACCTTTCAGACATTCTTTCTCTCATTATATTTGATTTATTAGCTACAATTCTGATTATATTGTATTATAGTATGTTATCTTGCATTCTGATAATATATTAGTAAATTAGTTTGTTTCTCCACAGATCGATGCCGCTGTTTTAATTATTTTGGGGTGTCCTGTTTCCTTTTTTCCAGAGGCACGGATCTGCAGATCTCTCCGCCCCGCTCGTCACGGAACCGGGCCGAACCAGCCCGTAAACCGTTGACATGCGGGTACAACAGTGAATGTCTCCTGCTGAACCCAGAAAGAACGTCTGTGGAAAGCAGGGCTGGATTTCCTGTACTGCTAAGAGCTGAACCCCAAATCTCTTGAGGGAGTGCTGCTGCTGGAGGATGTCTCAGGTGGGCTGGGCGTGGCGGAGCACCCACAGACACGAGCCCTGGGGACACTCCAGGCCTTCGCGAGGCCTGCCCCAAGGCAGGGTGGCCATCTTGCCACTGCGCAGGCCTGCTGCCGTGCTGCCCAAAGAGCGGGCGGCTTCTCTCCAGCTGTCCTCCAACTGACTCACGTCAAAAAGCACACAGTGAGGAAGAGAACAGCCTTCATCAAAAAGACCACCAGACCACCACCGAGAGCTACGACGCGTGTGCAGACTCTCACACTGGACAACAACTCCCCTTCACCTACTCTATCTTAATAAAATTGTTGCTTCCTTATGTTCGTGCTTTTTCGCCTTTCTTGAGATCTGGAAAATGTAAGAACATTGAATTTTCACGTGCTTTCTAGAAAAAATACGTCTTTCTAAACACAGGTTTTGTCGCTCAGGAAAGCCAAGCTATGAGTAGGTTTGCCTTTCCAAGTAGAAAAGCATCTTCTGAAATTCATTTCAACACATCTCTGGGGTTTTGCCAGTTAGGTAGCATTTGGGCTCGCAATACAGAGAAGCAAGACTGATAAATCGGTAGCCAGGCTTATACTTGGGGTCTGTCTTTGATCAGTGGAATTGCCCTCTGTGTTAGGAAGTGGACAGATTCCACGCACATGCCGTGCAATCTCATCCAAGGTGACTTGCTCCGTAACTTTCCCTGGTAGCGAGGTCAGGCTAACGGGCCTATAGTTCCCCGGATCCTCCTTACGGCCCTCCTTTTGATGCACCCAGATTCTCGGAGAAAACTCCCTGGGTCGACACATCCACCACAGAGCAGGGAGAGAGCCCCGGCTGTATGATGCGTGGCTTTGGAAGGAACGAGACAAAATGTTTGGACGGTATAAGAAAGTGTCTCGGTTAATGGTATGTGGAAGCATAGTTGAGTGTAGGTGGAAGCGTAACTGAGGGTACGAATAGCGGAACAGTTGAAAAGGCAAAAGGGTGGAAGGGAAAGTGAGTTTATCTGCACTGGCACGAGAGCAACCCCTGCAGAACACTAGGAGAGAGAGAGCGCCAGGGCCGGAAACTGCTGCTGTAAGCAGCCTTGTTCACAAAAGGGGTGAGGGGCACTGGAAGTGAGGACAGCCTTCCAGGAAAGCTAGAGGGCCGTGCCCAGTGGGCAGTGGTGAATGGAGTCCAGTTGGCGACCTGTTTCAAGTGGTGTCCCCCGGGGGTCGGTACTGGGGCCCATCTTGTTTAATGTCTTTATTGATGACCTGGATGAAAGGATTGAGTGCGCCCTCAGTAAGTTTGCAGATGACACCAAGCTGGGAGGTGGTGTCGATCTGCCGGAGGGTAGGGAGGCCCTCCAGAGGGATTTAGACAGGCTGGACCGCTGGGCTGAGGTGAACGGGATGAGGTTCAACAAGGCCAAGTGTCGCGTCCTGCACTTTGGGCACAACAACCCCATGCAGCGTTATAGGCTTGGGGATGAGTGGCTGGATGAGTGTGAAGAAGAGAGGGACCCGAGGGTGCTGGTTGATGCTCGGCTGAACACGAGCCAGCACTGTGCCCAGGTGGCCGAGGGGGCCAACGGCATCCTGGCCTGCATTAGAAATAGTGTGGCCAGCAGGAGCAGGGATGTCAGAAAGGTAAGACTGTACAGGACACTGGAAATAAGACGGTGGATCAGGCGGCAGAACAGGCCTTTTAAGGAGAAGGCTTTAATTCCAGACGGTAAACTTGAAATGTCTGAACCTGAGTCGGAACCTGTAAAATGTTCTAGAGAGGATGGGAATCCAGTTGATGATTAAGAAGGGAAGGGAGCAAGCTGACCGATGGGTGCGTGGACACACTGGTATGTCCCTTAGTATTTTCGGGAAACAGGTTCTGAGGGAGGACAACGAAACATACTGGGGGAACAGACACAACCAGGTACGATCCTAGTACCAGGAATAGAGAACAAGTGGGCCTGTTGGGAAAGAGAACCTTCCAGGGCAACAATGGCAACTGCTTCCTCGGAACTCCCAAGAAAAGGGGGGTATCGCTGTACGTTGGTACTGACTGACACCTCTCCAGGGTGGTCGGAGGCGTTCCCCTGTAGGACTAGTAAGGCACGTGAGGTGACTAAAGTAGCGTTCCAGGAGGCTATTCCAAGATCTGGGCTCCCGTCAACTGTCTCCTCAGATTGCAAAGGTGATACAACGAGTAAGCGGGCTGCTGGGAATTCATCGGCAGCTACATACCCTCGCTTATCCTGCAAAGCAGCTGGGATCAATCAAAGTATAACATCAAAACCTTTTTAAAAACCTTTATTTTGGAAGTCTCCTTAGGCACAGAGTCGATGCCAGAGGTCCAGCAGCAGTCATTCTGTAATGGGAGCTCTCCTTATCTTTCGAGTTGAACAACGATTGCAAAAATGATGTTGTTCAGAATAGGATGATGAGTACAGCTGCAGAATGTCTACTTTGTCCGATGCAGTAGGTTAAAAGAACTACGTAGGAAAGGGTGCAAGGATAATGGCAATCGGCTATTGCCTCAAGCTCCAGAATGTTCTTTTTCCCGCCTGTAATTGCGCAGTGTCTGCAGCACTACGCAACCAGAGAAAGCCCTGAGTCCTCAAGCGAGGCTTACAGTGTTGCTCTATCTATTGCTCTCACCGCAACCCTGAAATGGAGCCAACGATTAAAGACTGCAAGGGGAAACAGTTCTGTCCACAGCTGTGTGTGAGCAGCCACGCTTCTGCTTGGGAGCATGCTGGCTTTGCAGAAGATTGCCAAGCACCTGATTCTGTGCAGAATTCAGACAGGCCTCAGCGTGGGCTCCGACTGCGCGCTTAGCGGCTGCGCGCACGGGGCACGAGCCCAGCCCCCAGTCGGGGTGATGGTCCTTCAGAACCACAAAACACAGCACTGTAAGAGCCACTGCAAAGAGAAGGAATCCACCCAGCCACAACCAGCACAGGCAGCCTGCGCGCGTGCCCTGCCTGCCCTTCCATTGCTCAGCCAGCTGCCGTTGGGAACCGGGCTCCGGCTCCTGCTGGGAGAAGCGGCTGCTCTTTCGGCAGCAGGCCCGGCCTGCCTTGGGCGCTGTCGTTGAGTAAGGGAGGCCTGGGAGGCCGTGGCTCGGCGTCAAGGGGGAAGCCTGTGTCACGGCGGCAGCTGCTCCGTGGGCTACGGAGCGCAGCACTGGCAGCCCACCGTGCTGCCAGAGGGCAGCTATTGTGAGGTCGGCGATGACATCGCTGCCCGGTGACTGTGGTGTCACACTGCAGCAGAGGGCCAGCGGCCCTGGGCTCACTTTGCCGCCTGAGCGGTGAGCGTCGCGTCCTCCTCCTTTGCAGCGGGGCAGGGTCGACTTGTTCTGAGGTACCCCAGGTACCACAGGGCGCTGACAATGGCTTCTGCATGGGAGAGGAAGTGCTACTATTCAGATCTGGGGAAGAAAGTGGTGTTCCTTCCCAACCTCCTTCTCTGTGAGGAGTTCACGAAGGACACTGGTTACCCGCAATCTCTTGAGGGAGTGCTGCTGCTGGCGGATGTCTCAGGTGGGCTGGGCGTGGCGGAGCACCCACAGACACGAGCCCTGGGGACACTCCAGGCCTTCGCGAGGCCTGCCCCAAGGCAGGGTGGCCATCTTGCCACTGCGCAGGCCTGCTGCCGTGCTGCCCAAAGAGCGGGCGGCTTCTCTCCTGCGCCGTCAGCCATGGTTGTGACGAGCGCTCAGCCGGGGCTGGGGAAGGGGTGAGCGACAGGTGCAACGCGGACGTCTCCTGATCTGTGAGTGTCCTTCCGGCAGGTTTCACTGCCTTGGCAGAGAAGTGTGTCCAGCAGAATGGACCAGAGAGAGGAGCTGAGGAGCTGGCGCATGTCCTCAACGCCTACATGGGGGACATTCTGGAGGGTAAGAGCCGTGCTGCTGGGCTGTCGGGCATCGAGCCCCGAGGCTGGCTCACTGTGGAGAGAGCTGTGCTGGGCCGCCCGCCCCTGCCTCCCTGAAGGGGCGAGGAGCCGGAGCCACGCTGTCTTTGATGTGGCTTGGCACCAGGACAAGAGGTGGTGGGCACAAACTGAAAGGCGGGAGGCTCTGCTGGGCAGGAAGGCCTCTGCGGCGAGGCTGACTGAGCTGCGGCACAGGTTGCCCAGGAAGGCCGGCCGATCTGCCCACCCAGAGGTCCTCACAAGGCCTGGGGATGTGGCCCTGGGCAAGAGGCTCTGGGTGGCTCTGCTTGAGTGGAGCGGTGCGCAGACTCTCTCCACAGGTGCCCTCCTGCTCTCACCATGCTGCGCACCGTATCTCGAGGCGCTGCCTCCCTGCTGGCTGTGCAGCTTCCAGGGCTGTGGCCGCAGCGGCCCTGGGAGCAGGGCTTTCTGGAGCCATGCACCGCCACGGTGGTCCTCTCCGGGCACAGTGGCTCTTCCCGTGGCTCCTGGAAGAAGGCATCCCCGTAACTCTGCTTTTCCTTCTCTTTGTCTGCAGTGGTGCTGGCTTTTGGAGGAGACATCCTGAAGTTTGCAGGTGTGTCCGTGGGAGGAGGCAGTGTCAGCGCTCTGCTGATGCGCAGCGTCTTCCGTGGGAGCCTCCTGGATTCCACCCTGCTTTTTGCGGAGAGCAAAGGGGAGCTGCTTTGTCTCCAGCTCTGAGCAGGGCTTCTCCAGGAGCGCTGAGGCGTGGGAGAAGCGGTGGGGGGGAGGGAGCCCTGTCTTTGAGTGCCGAGGGGCACTGGCGGTGGGAGGTGTCAGCCTCACTGCCGCCCCCCACCACCCACCCTCTTGCTCTGCTGCCCTGGTGGTCGCTGTGGCTGGCCCGGCAGATGGGAGGGGCCCCTGAGGCCAGGCTGCCCGGAGGTCCTTCAGGATGATGGCCTCCCACAGTCCCATCTTCCTCGGCACGCCGGCCAGCTGCTTGCTGCTGTCCCTGCGGCTGGGTGCAAGCCGGGGAGAGTCAGCCCCTGGGAGAGCCTTCACCTTCCCTTCCCTTTCCGCAGGGGATGCTGTGCTGGTGCTTTGGAGAGCAGCACCGCCTCAGATGCCTATGGCCATCAACGTGGCGCTGCAGTGCTCCTGGAATATCCAGAAGAAGTACGGCACCCATGACACGCACATGGGTCTCAAGCTCCACCTGAAGATAGGTATGGATGGCTCAGCCCCGGTATTCTCTAGAGCCGATGGATAGCCTCCCCTGCCAGCCTTTGCAGGGGGCGAGCAGGAGGTAGTGAGGGCAGGGGAGGCAAGGGCTCCTTCCCTGCCTGCCTCATGTCAGCTGTAGCACAGGCCCCTTGCTCCCAGTGAGGGTACCAGAGCACAGCTTGCGCTGTCCCTGGGGGCCCCAACTTCTGACCACACTGGGACGTAGATCCCAGACCCGGTCCCCAGACGGGCCCTTTTGTCCCGCTTGCCCTTTGGATAAGGGATGTGTCACCTGTGGGACGCTTCCTCAAGTTCCAGGAGCTGAACAGGCAAGGGCTGCTGCTTTTCATGGCCAGCAAAGGGGAGCCGCTTTGCCTAATGGCTTTGAGCCGGGCTTTTGCAGGCTCTCCTCGTACCACAGACAGCATGCCTGGGCAGCAGACTGTGGGCAGGGACTTGACTTGAGACATCCACAGGACCTCTTCTGTCCTCCTCTTTCTGGGTCTCCCTGTTTGCTTTTCTTCCTTTCTCTTCCCCTCACTCTCCGGAAGGCTCTTGTCTTGCTAGGCAGACACTTGCAACCCGCCTTCACGTAAACAGAGCAGACGCTGCTCAAAGCTGCTGCTCTGCTTGGCTTGTGCTGTAGGCCGCCCGGCAGTGCCAACGCACTGTCAGTGTTGGCTTTGTTTGCCCCTTTGTAGACGCCTGTTTCTGGGAGCTGTGTGGGTACGGCCCCGAAAAGGATGCCCAAGGCCCTTCCCCTCCCTGGTGCCTGTCTCCAGGTTGGGCGTCAGCTGAGCTTCTGTGCGGAGCTGGGGGCTACCGAGTTCCAAAGGCTCCCTGTGTTAACACTGCTGGTCTTTCTCTCCCCAGGGATCTCGGCCGGGATGCTCTCCTTCATATCCGTCAGAGGTGGGGATCATCAGTACTTCTTCATCTGCAGCCAGGCCCTGGACGAAGTTATCGAGGCCCAAAGCCTTTCGGCTGACTATGAAATCATGATGTCACAGACCTGCTGGGAGCTGTGTGGGCAGCAACGAATCAAGGCCGAATCTATTGCTGGCAGAAGTGCCGTGAAGGTGGGTGAATGGTGTGGCCTCGAGCCCTTTGGAAGACCTGCACCTGGGCGGGGAGCGGCCGAGAGGCTGAATGTGGCCACAGCCCTAACCATAAGCTTAGGCAGAGAGCCAAGGCTGCTTCCCTTGCGCCACAGCTGAAAGTCCAGGGAGGTGGGCTTGCCCTTGTCTGCGAAGTGAGAGTGGAGGGGCAGGCCGTGTGCCCTGGGGCTTCTGGGGAGGGCAGTGGCATTCCTTTCCTCCTGTGTGTCTTCAGGTTGTGAGAATGATGCACTTAGCTCACCAAGAATACCAAGATGCTGTAGGCCAGCTGAACATGTACAGAGGGGATTGGCATTTGGAAGGGACGGGTGAGTTCCTTGTCCTGAGACTGGCTGGAAAGCTGGGTCCTGCCTGCTTCAGTCGGGAACAGGAGCAAGCACAGAAGAATCTTTCCCTTGCTGTGTCCAGCTTCCCAAGCCCCTGTAGTCCTGCCCTGCCAGTGACGGCCTGTGTTTCCTTTCCTTAGCCCTCCAAAGGCCGGTTCTTAGGAGCTCTGGTGATCCTGAAGTGGCAGCGAGGCTGGAGAAGCACATATCGACAGCAGTTCTCCACAAGGTATGGCCACTACTGCTGGCGGCTGCGTGTAGGGAGGGCAGGAGACGGCGTGGAGCCCTCGGGAAAACGGGCAGCCAGAGGGAAGTGCAGTCTGAGCCGAGAGCCCGAGGAAAAGAGATGCCAGGGTCGCTGGGGCCAGACGTGCCCGGAAGCTGTCCCTTTGTGCTGCTCCTCTGAGAGACACGGATGGTGGGAGGCAGACTTCCCTGTCTTCTGCATGGCTGTAGTTTTGGAGGTTGCACAGGCCTGGGGGAGGGACAAGATCCCGCTCAGGTGCCTAGAGGATGGCAAAGAGTCTCCCCTCGTGCCTGCACGTGTCACAGGACAGCGTTGCCAGAGCAGCTTGGTGCCAGGACTCAGTACCTGGGAAGACTTCCCCATCCTCCAGTAGCACCTGGTGTTGCCAGCACGCCCGCTGTCCCCTGGTGCCTGCTCTGGGCCCAGAGAAGCCCCCAGGAGAGCAGGCTGGCAAAGCTGATGTGCTCGTCTCTTGCAGCTTCGTCAGGACGTGCCACTGGAGCTGTGCTCTGAGCTACGGCCGGTCACCGCCGTCTTCGTCCGTTTGCAGTTTCCTCACACGATCAGCGTAGCGGAGCTCAGCAGCAGCCTCAGTGATAGCAGCAGTATGATTTCAGAAATCATCAGCCCTCACAAGGGTGAAATCAACAAAACTCTTCTGTTTGACAAAGTGAGTGCATGATAGCCATCCTGTCCCCAGGATGCCTCTGTCTGTTTGGCAGCACGGGAATGGGAAGCAGCTCTGCCGTGCTGCTGGCATCTGTGGCTGTGGGTTGACCTGAAGCTCCGCTGGTCTCCCCGATGCCTCTGGCAGAATGCATCAGCTGCTGGCCATCGCTATTGTAAAACAAGACGCACTGCACCTCTTCTTTGCAGGGCTGCACCTTTCTCTGCGTGTTTGGATTTCCTGGAGAAAAATTGGCCTGTGAGAGCACCCACACCTTGGAATGTGCTATGCAGATCTTCCGCAAGGCCTCCACGGGGCTGAGAAAACTCCAGTGAGTGCATGGGACGGGGTGTGTGTGCTGCCTGGGATGGCAGGAGGGGACTGATGAGCAAGAGACGGGCCCCCCTGGCTCGTCCTGCTTCGCCCCTGGTGGGAAGGAGGCAGCGTCTCAGAGGTGGCAGGTTAGCCCACGGCAGCCAGGCACAGTCCCCCCAGGTGCTGCCTGCCAGTCACCGTGCCGGAGCGAGCCCTCACCAGGGCACACAGCTCCTCAGTGCCAGAGGCAGGCTCCTCTGGGCAATGGGGCCAGGAACAAGGCCTGGGCCCGGTCCCTCGACCTCCAGTCACTGCCATTGTAGGTAGTGTGCAGGCCGTACCTGCTAGCCTTCCCACTAAGGAGAAGAGCCTGTGGCCTGGCACAGGTTGCAGCCATCAGGCCTTGGGAAAGGGCCCAGTGGTCTCGCGTGTGCCCTACCTACGTCCCCTGCCGCCGGGGCGAGTTGCTCCGCAAGCTCTCCTCGTCCCCAAGACCCATGTGGTGCGTTTGTGGTCCCAGTGCCGAGGAGGGGAGAGGTGGGAAGGGATGGAATAGGGCGAGCAGGACGGCAGCAGGGCTGCTGCTGAATGCACGTTACTCTCTCTGTGTGCCAGGCAAGTTTCTGTCGGGGTCAGCAGCGGGACGGCGTTCTGCGGCCTCACTGGCCATCCCGAGAGGTGTGAACACACAGGTAGGGCTCCTTTGTCTTAGGAATGTGAGGCTGGCATGGGTCTGCTTCAGCCCGTCAGACTGGACAAGGCAGATGGGCTGAGGCAAGGACACGGTGCAGCCCGCTGGGGCCTTGGGGCGGGAGGATGGGCTCAGAGACATGTGGTTCCCTTTGGGTCCACTTGCCCTGCATTTGGGTAGTCCGGCGCCCGGGAGGGGAGGTTGCCCTTGGCCTTGAAGGTTTCCCAACTGCGCTGACGTATGCTCTTTCTGTGTGGCAGCCCTTGGCTTTAAGGTGAATTTGGCCGCCCGCATGTTGATGGCCTACCCAGGGATGGTGTCCTGTGATGCAGAGACCCACGCGGCCTCTCGCCTGCCCAGCTACTGCTTCAAAGAGTTGCCACAGAGAGACATGAAAGGTGTTACCAATCCCGTCACCACCTACCAATACATGGGGATCACCGAGCAGTAAGTGTTCTCTGAGCTGTGCAAGTGAGGGGAGAGGGGCCTCAAGGGTACAGCCTTGGCTGGCAGAGAGGAGTTCTGCAGTGAGACCAGGCTGGTCTCCCACAGACCTCCCTTGCCCGTGGCTGAGAAGATCGGAAGCCCTGGTGTGGGTCTGCTTTCTGCCTCTCTGCCCTTGCGCCTCTTGCTGCTAAGAGAGTGCAAGCGATAGCACTGGGTTGGGGAAGACTGGCCTGGCTTTGGAGACACAGGCTAGCCTTGTGGGCTTTGTCAGAGCAGCTTTCCTCTGAGCTTGCTGTGCTGTGCTTTTTTCCACCATGTGTATGACTAAGCCAGCAGGTCATTCTGCTGCATGGGGTGGGTTTTTTTCCCCAGCTGCTTCCCAGCAGGAAGCTGTGGGTCAGTCGTATTCCACTGGGGAAAGATGGGCTGCTGACATGCTCTGCCTCCTCCTGTCTTCCTCCTTCCTGTCTTTGACCTCCTTGTTGGAAGGCCTTCTGAACGTGAATGCTACCGTCTCTTGGAAACCACTGCAAGACTGGAGGCAAAGGTGCCAGCAGCTTGGGCATCCCAAGCCACTGAGAGAGACACAGGTCCTTGTTTCCAAGAGGCCTGTTTTGCTTGTCCAGGCTGGCAGAGCAGTCAAGCTAGCCAGCAGTGCAGCCTGGCTTCTTTCCTCCTCTTGGATTTTTTTGGTTGTTGCATCCAGCAAGGGACTTTTGTTAGTTTCAGCTGTCCTGCCGTGGCTGCTGGACTTCTTTATGCTTGAAGCTGTCCTAGTGTGCCACCTTGAGCTTTGGCCAGGGGAATGGGCTCTGGGTAACATGCTGCTCGAGAGAGGCGTCTCCCAGCCCTCCACAGCAGGCTCTGGGTGCAATAGCTTCTGGCCAACTAAGTGACTTTTTTTTCTCCCCCTTCTAGCCAAAATGACATGGGCCTTGCCAGGGAGAGGTCGCACTACGGTCCCTTGCTGGGTAGGTGGAGAACTCATCTGAAGCCCAATTGCTTCCCTTTGCCCAGTGCCAGGGGCTGTGCTGTGTGCTGCCCTGGCATGCAGCTGAGCCCCATGCAGCCGCTTGCTCGCTCCCTCCCTCTCTGCTGCGGGACAGGGGAGAGAACTGGAGGGGCTCCCCGCTTTTCGGCATGCTGCAGCAGCTCATTTTCTTGTGGATCTGCACAGGTCGCGAGGCGGAGATCGAAACCTTTGATTGCTGCTTGGAGGCCTATGAGCTTTTGGAAGAAGCACAGATCCTGGCATTTGTGGGCATTCCAGGCTCTGGAAAGAGCCACTTACTTGCCGAGCTGGCCGTTTTAGACCGGGCTACTAAGTACAAGTAAGCACTTTGGAGCTGTCACTTTGGCACCCCTCCCCTGCCTGTCCCTGCTGTTTATGAAACACTGCAGTCCGTCCGGGTGCCACTGTACCCAGCCCTTGCGCTGCAGCCTCCTAAAAAAGCCTACTGCAGACCCTCCCGAGCAGCACCCGCCTTCTCGGAGAGTTCCAGCTGGCTTTGTGAGCCACTGCTTTTCTCCTTTGTCCCTGGGCCAAGCACAAAGGGACGGGAAGAGCTCCAGCTCTGGAGCTGAGGGCAAGCAAGGTGGCCCGTCTCAGAAGCACTGCTTGCCCTCTGCCTGTTTTCCAGAAGGAGCACTGGGGCAGAAAAGCCTTGCTGCGGGCTGGGCGGCAGGCGCAGACCTGCCACCTGCTGAGGCCTCCTTCTTAGCCCAATGAGGGCCGCTGCAGGGCGCGCGTAGTGTGACCCGGGCTGACCTAGAGGCCGTGGTCACCCCCCCAGTGATCGGCCTGCAGCCGCCCCTCAGGACTCTTTCTCATCCTATAAGTGGAAAGCTTGGTCCTCTCCAGGAAGCACTTGGAGATGGGTGGCCGAAGAGTCCTGCTTTCCTCTGCGGAAAGAACCAGGCGCCTCACCCATCGAGCACTGCTGTCTGGGCAGGCTTGAGCTACCAGGAGGCAATTCTGGATCTCAGTGCCTTCCGCTCTTGCACCGCAGGGTCAACACTATGGAATTGACAGAGGACAACACGAAGCAGCCGTTCTCTGCCATCCGTCTACTGGTGGCCAGGGCGCTGGGTCTCCAGGGTGATGAAACCTCCAGTGACAGGCAGCGCACTCTGCAGACCCTGCTCCAAGACACAGTGGAAGAGAGCAGCTATTGCCTGCTAAACGATGTTTTCTCAGTTGAGGTGAGAGTGAGAGGCTGTCTTGCTCGGATGCTCCGCTGGGAGTGGCTCAGCTCAGGGCTGGGACTTGTGAAGGCCGTACCCCACCTGTCTGATTCCTGTGCCCCTGTGCATGGGGTGCTCCCGTGCTGTGCACGTGCCCCGTGTCTTGTTCAGCACCCTGGAAAAGGCACTGAAAAGGGGCTGGTGCTGGCCACATGAAAAAGCAGAGGCATTTTGCTCTGCAGTCTTGCTCTGGGAGATAGGTGTGCCCAGATCTGCAGCAATGTTCTTCTCTGTCTTTCCTGGACAGTTTCCCATCACGGACGAGGTCTCCGAGATGTGTTCCGCTGAACGGGCCAGCGTGTTCCACCTGACTTGTACACAAGTGCTACAGAAGGTGAGCACGTCTCCTCCCTTCTGCCTCACAGCAGGCAAACAACTGTGCCAGCTCTGCGCTGGAGCTGCCAGAGAGGGCGGCAGGACGATGCACCTGGGTCATGGCCCTCCAGGAACTTTGCCCAAGTTCTCTCCTTCTGCCGGGCAACTGATGTTAGAGGAGACTCTGCGGTCTCGCAGAAACAAAGTTGGTAAACTCCTGGAGAAGGAGGTGGCTGGGGAGAGACTTCTTAATATCCCCTTGTCTCGAGAGCGAGAAAGGTTGTGTGTCGTCCCTGGAAGACACTCAAGAATCCACCAGATTCCACTCAGAACCACCTTTTTTTCAGGTGCTTGGGGGGAAATACGGCATATTTTTCATCGACAACGCCCACTTCCTCGACACTAGGTCCTGGTCTATCATGTGGCCCCTGCTTCAAAGTGTCACGGTCTTTATGGTCATGAGCTTAGTTCCGGGCCATGACAGAACAGAGAGCATTCTCAAAGCTGCCGCAGACTGCAAGACATCTGAGACGATCACTTGTGTTCGTCTGGAAGGGCTGAAAGCTTCAGCTGTAGTGCAGAAAGCCTGCCAGGACCTTGGAGTGAGCAGCATCCCCAGGGAGCTAGCAAGGTAAGCCCAAGCCTGGGGAGCTCTTCTGGAGGGGTTGCACTTACGCTGACCACGGCTGGGAAGCGCCCTGCCAAAAGGGGGTTGATGGGTATGGGTCTCTCCTCAAGCCTGGCCGTAGCAGGTGGGGGCTAAGAATGGGCAACTGCCACGAGGCAGCAGAGTCTGGATGGTGTCAGCCCTTTGCTGTTGCCGTGGCTTTCCGTTCTGTGCTTTGGGCATTGTCCATCAGCCTTTCCTGATGGATTCCCCGGAATGCTGTAGTGGGGGGGGCCCCAGACACCCAAGCCCCTTCCAGAAGCCAGGTTTAGCCATGTTGAAGAGGCTGGTCAGCCTGCGAGGTCTGAACGACTCACCGCCCATCCGAACTGTGCTGCACCTTACTTCCTTGCTGTGGGTTGTGCTCCTGCCCAGGTTCCTGATCCAGAGAAGCGCTGGCATCCCATATTACTGTGAGGAACTGCTGCGCTACCTGCGATGCAACAACATGCTCTTGTTGCACACTGGGAGGCCGGACGAAGGACAGGACGACTGGCAGAGCCTGATTGGTAAGCACCCTTGTTGCCGATCAGCCGTTCGCTGTGGCGCATCCTCTCCCACACAGCCGTGCCCTGTGTCTCCCCAGTGACTCTGGGCGGAGGCTGACCCTGCAGCAGGGCAGAACTTGCCACGGCAGAGGTGTGGGCTGCTGCGCACCTTGCTGCTCCCTTGGCAAAACACCAGCTCAGCTCCTGTGAGAGCAAAGCCCACCTGGGGGAGCGGGAAGCTGCTCCAAAACCTCAAGTCCTCACAAGGGCCTTGGGAACTGAAGAGCACGGTGGGAATGCCACTGCAAGAGCAATGCCAAGCAGAGCATCATTGCTTAGGGGCAGCCTGCGCGGGCTTTGCCTTCTGGAGCATCAGTGGCAACTTCCCTGGCTCTGGAGGTAGTGCTGTTGAAAGGCAGCATCACCACCACATTCTGTCGTGCAACGTTCATTCTCCATCTGAGGAGCCCAGAACTTTTGACTGAACGGCGTTTGCTCTGAAGCTGGTGTGAAGACAGAAGAGAGCTGGGCGGGCAATGCAAATGAAAGCTTGCATTGGGAATCGACCGGCTTGCCCTGTTTGCCGGCCCTGCTCAGTGCACGCCAGGCAGTGTGCCTGACTATGAACAGGTACGACTTGTCGGATCTTACTCATGCTCCCCCTGTTCTTCCCATCTTCTGCAGCCAAGGCGTCACCTGCTGTCACCGCTGCCTCGAGCTCGGGTACCAGGAATGACAGCGAAAGGATCTGTACCATCAGACCAGACGTGAGCCTGGAGAACCCCATGCTGCCGGTGGCCTTGAAAGGTGAGGAGCTGAGCGGTTTGTGGCTGTGCCCCAGCTTCCTTTCCTGGGGTGCAGATAAGAGAGGCTGGGCACCTGTGCGCTGCAGAGCTGCTCTCTCAGCCTCGGGGCTCTGCCAGGAAGGTGACTCCAGCCCAAGCAGGAAGAGTCCTGCGCTTTTGCGGGCTGTGGTTTTCCTCTGTGGGCAGTAGACCAGCTCGGAGCCGACTGTGCGCTGCACACCATGGGTGGGGGAACTCCGAGTCCAGCTGTGGGCTGGTGAGAATGTTCTGTGCTCTCTGTGTGCACTGCTGGGCACGAACCCAGTGCAGATCTAGTAGGTCGCACAGTGGGACACACGTACCTGCTGGCTGTGCCTTCCCCATCGTTGGTCGGGAACATTTGTCTGAGTGTCTCTGCTTTCCCTGGCTCCTGTGGCCTGTGAGTGTGAGAGGAGCAGAGCCATCTTGAAGATACTGATCCTGGGCTCTGGTTGCCCAGCGGGTTCCATCCTGGGGAGAGGAGGCCAAAGCCTTCCCCGTTTCCTCTGGAGAAACCGTCCAGCTTCTCCAACCTCAGGCTCAGGGACAGGCAAGACGAAGACGTGTTGCTTCTTCTTGGCAGAGATTGCGCTGGCTGAGCTGGATCGGATCAATCTGGAGAAGCAGATGGTTCTGAAGTTTGCAGCCGTCATAGGGCCGGTGTTTACCACCCAGCAGCTGGTTCACATTATTCCCAGTAGCAAAAGGCACGGGATTAATTCACTGCTGGACAAGCTGGTGGAGGACAACATCCTGAAGCAACTGGACATCGAGAAGCCAGAAGGCAAGTGAGGTGCTACATAGGGGCTGCCCACCTCTGGGCAGGCAAGAAGCGGTGGTGCAGCGTGGATCCAGGAGCAGTGTGGCTCCACAGGGCCCTGCTCACCTAGCTTGGTGCAGAGGGAAATTCTCAGTGGCTGCTGGAAGAGCCTCTGCCACCGTGCTTGCAGGCAGAGCATAGGCTGGGCTCAGACAGCAGCACGCAGCAAAGTGTGGCCTTTGCCCCAGCTGGGGCGGCCTGGAGGTCTGGCCCCAGCTTTGTCTGAGGCCAGGACTCATTGCCTTGCAGGGATGAAGAGGCCCTCTGTGAGCAGGGAGACAGTGCAGCCGAAGTCTAAAATCCTGGCCTTTTGCAGCCCTCTGCTGTGGGAGGCAACTTACAAGCTGTGGCCCACGAGGCAGAAGATCAGCATTCACTGTCAGTGTGCTGCCTTCCTGGAGAGGCATGCACACAAATGCCGGAGGTGCCACGAAGGGGACTTTGTGGCCTTCCACCGCTTTGGCATCTCCAGCCCCCAGGAGCAGGGGAGCTGCCAGGGCTCTGCTGAGAAGGACAACTGGAGCAGCTGGGAGGCCTTGGTAGTTGCTGGAGAACACCTGCGGAGGGCTAGGACCCTCCCTGCAGAGGGGATTCTGGCAGAAGGCGAGCACACAACGCTGCGGGCCAAGGACAGTGGCCAGTGCTGCCAGTGTGAAGCCATCGCCGAAGCCGTGCTTGTGCCCCTGGCTCGCCACTACACAGCCATGGGCAATGCTTCCCAGGCCTTCTACTACCTGCTGGAGTCTGCGGCTGCCTACCTGCACGTCTCCAACAGCTCCATGGTGAGTCACCCTGCTTGCCAGCACGAGCTGCCTTAGCACGGAGGAGGACTGACTCCTTCGGTGCCCGTGCTCTGAGCCCACAGGACTGTGTTAGGGCAGGCATGACCAGGAGGAACACGGGCCCTGCTAAGGCAGATGCTGCAGGAGGCAACAGGGAAGGATGGGGCTGGCCAGGGGCCAATGCTCACCTGCTGTTTGTGTTGCTTGTTCAAAGGCCTTCATGAAGCTGAATGAAGCGGAGGTCCTGAGGAGCTCCCTAGAGAAAAAAAGGAATGCCGTAGACCGCTTTGAGGAGGCCATCTTCTTCAGCCTCAAAGGAGAGGTAAAGAGGCAGTGGAAGGGTGTCCAGAGGCATGCAGCCAGATGCTTTCCCTGCTGGCAGGGAATACTCCTGCCACAGCCAGTCCCTGGTCCATTTCTGCAGACTCGGCAGGACTTGGGCAAGTCCTCTGCATCTGCATGCCTCCCTCTTCCTGTGCAGGTCTGCAGGAGCATGGGATGTGTCAAGCTGGCCAGGAAAATGAGCAGGCAGGCGCTAAGCCTGCTGGAAAAGCGTTTCCCCCAGAGCCGTGCTGGGGCCTTTGTCAAGTCTCTGTGGGAAAGGTTGCAGCAGATTTCTCAGGCCACAGGCAGAGCGTCCTTCCTTCCGCAGGAGGCTCGGTAAGCAGCAGAAGGGACAAGCAGCAGAGAGGAAGAGCCGTTTTGTACCTGATCCATGACACAGGCCTGCCCATTCCCAAGCCTTAGCAGGACCGAGGCATTCAGGCCTGATGCCAGGATGGTAGAGCCAGGAATGGCGCAGCCTCCCTGTGTGCAGCATGGGAGAAGAATGCACACCTTTGGGTAAAAAGCAGCTTGTGCTGAGGGATGCACCTGTGGTGCCGCAGTGCCAGCAGCACTTCTTCCTTTGCCCCCTTCATCCCGGCTGCCCTCCTGGCATCAGCTCCCTTCCTCCAGCAGTGTAGCCATCTAGCCCCGCCGCTCTGCTTTCCCTTGCCCTGTCTGACTCAGTGCTCCACAGCCATGCCTCTGGGCCCAACGGTTTCTCTTGTGTGGCAGGAGGAAGAAACAAGCCTGGCTGCTTCACCGGAGCAGATGCCTCTCCTTGCTCCAGGACCTCTACAGCCAGGAGGGCACATCTGCTGGACAGAGATTCTCCCGCCTGGCAGCACTCATGAAGGCTAACACGGACAGGAAGATGCACTCCTACCAGGCAGCAGACGCCAACGCTGGACAACTTTGAATCACAGAATCACAGAATTGTAGGGGTTGGAAGGGACCTCCAGGGATCATCGAGTCCAACCCCCCTGCCAAAGCAGGTTCCCTACAGCAGGTCGCACAGGTAGGCATCCAGGCAGGTCTGGAACATCTCCAGAGAAGGAGACTCCACCACCACCCTGGGCAGCCTGTGCCAGTGCTCCGTCACCTCACTGTAAAGAAGTTCTTGCGCACATTTGTGCGGAACTTCCTGTGCTGCAGTTTCCGGCCATTTCCCCTTGTCCTGTCGCCATTCACCACTGAAAAGAGTCCAGCCTCGCCATTCTGCCCCCCACACCTTAGATACTTATAGACCTGGATCAGGTCCCCTCTCAGTCTCCTTTTCTCAAGGCTGAACAGACCCAGTTCACTCAGCCTTTCTTCATAGGAGAGATGGTCCAGGCCCTTCACCATCTTCGTGGCCCTCCGCTGAATGAAGGAAAACAAGTGAGGTTAAAAGCTATGTGCCTTCATGGGTGCTGGATCGGCAGCTACAGATCTGACCTTGCTAATCCAGCTTTTGGCTGCCAATAACTGATGCTTTACTGCAGACTTGGACCGTTAGTGCAGACAGCGGGTCTCCTGTTTCTCCAGGTAACGTCGTTAGCGACCCTATGTGTGCAGTGCAGTGTGTGACAGCTGGCTAGGACAATAAACCACAAATTAACAAGGAGGCAACAGATGGAGGAAGGAGTCGTAGCCTATAAGACAGCCAGCCAAAGCCAGCCAGCTGTCCTCCAACTGACTCACGTCAAAAAGCACACAGTGAGGAAGAGAACAGCCTTCATCAAAAAGACCACCAGACCACCACCGAGAGCTACGACGCGTGTGCAGACTCTCACACTGGACAACAACTCCCCTTCACCTACTCTATCTTAATAAAATTGTTGCTTCCTTATGTTCGTGCTTTTTCGCCTTTCTTGAGATCTGGAAAATGTAAGAACATTGAATTTTCACGTGCTTTCTAGAAAAAATACGTCTTTCTAAACACAGGTTTTGTCGCTCAGGAAAGCCAAGCTATGAGTAGGTTTGCCTTTCCAAGTAGAAAAGCATCTTCTGAAATTCATTTCAACACATCTCTGGGGTTTTGCCAGTTAGGTAGCATTTGGGCTCGCAATACAGAGAAGCAAGACTGATAAATCGGTAGCCAGGCTTATACTTGGGGTCTGTCTTTGATCAGTGGAATTGCCCTCTGTGTTAGGAAGTGGACAGATTCCACGCACATGCCGTGCAATCTCATCCAAGGTGACTTGCTCCGTAACTTTCCCTGGTAGCGAGGTCAGGCTAACGGGCCTATAGTTCCCCGGATCCTCCTTACGGCCCTCCTTTTGATGCACCCAGATTCTCGGAGAAAACTCCCTGGGTCGACACATCCACCACAGAGCAGGGAGAGAGCCCCGGCTGTATGATGCGTGGCTTTGGAAGGAACGAGACAAAATGTTTGGACGGTATAAGAAAGTGTCTCGGTTAATGGTATGTGGAAGCATAGTTGAGTGTAGGTGGAAGCGTAACTGAGGGTACGAATAGCGGAACAGTTGAAAAGGCAAAAGGGTGGAAGGGAAAGTGAGTTTATCTGCACTGGCACGAGAGCAACCCCTGCAGAACACTAGGAGAGAGAGAGCGCCAGGGCCGGAAACTGCTGCTGTAAGCAGCCTTGTTCACAAAAGGGGTGAGGGGCACTGGAAGTGAGGACAGCCTTCCAGGAAAGCTAGAGGGCCGTGCCCAGTGGGCAGTGGTGAATGGAGTCCAGTTGGCGACCTGTTTCAAGTGGTGTCCCCCGGGGGTCGGTACTGGGGCCCATCTTGTTTAATGTCTTTATTGATGACCTGGATGAAAGGATTGAGTGCGCCCTCAGTAAGTTTGCAGATGACACCAAGCTGGGAGGTGGTGTCGATCTGCCGGAGGGTAGGGAGGCCCTCCAGAGGGATTTAGACAGGCTGGACCGCTGGGCTGAGGTGAACGGGATGAGGTTCAACAAGGCCAAGTGTCGCGTCCTGCACTTTGGGCACAACAACCCCATGCAGCGTTATAGGCTTGGGGATGAGTGGCTGGATGAGTGTGAAGAAGAGAGGGACCCGAGGGTGCTGGTTGATGCTCGGCTGAACACGAGCCAGCACTGTGCCCAGGTGGCCGAGGGGGCCAACGGCATCCTGGCCTGCATTAGAAATAGTGTGGCCAGCAGGAGCAGGGATGTCAGAAAGGTAAGACTGTACAGGACACTGGAAATAAGACGGTGGATCAGGCGGCAGAACAGGCCTTTTAAGGAGAAGGCTTTAATTCCAGACGGTAAACTTGAAATGTCTGAACCTGAGTCGGAACCTGTAAAATGTTCTAGAGAGGATGGGAATCCAGTTGATGATTAAGAAGGGAAGGGAGCAAGCTGACCGATGGGTGCGTGGACACACTGGTATGTCCCTTAGTATTTTCGGGAAACAGGTTCTGAGGGAGGACAACGAAACATACTGGGGGAACAGACACAACCAGGTACGATCCTAGTACCAGGAATAGAGAACAAGTGGGCCTGTTGGGAAAGAGAACCTTCCAGGGCAACAATGGCAACTGCTTCCTCGGAACTCCCAAGAAAAGGGGGGTATCGCTGTACGTTGGTACTGACTGACACCTCTCCAGGGTGGTCGGAGGCGTTCCCCTGTAGGACTAGTAAGGCACGTGAGGTGACTAAAGTAGCGTTCCAGGAGGCTATTCCAAGATCTGGGCTCCCGTCAACTGTCTCCTCAGATTGCAAAGGTGATACAACGAGTAAGCGGGCTGCTGGGAATTCATCGGCAGCTACATACCCTCGCTTATCCTGCAAAGCAGCTGGGATCAATCAAAGTATAACATCAAAACCTTTTTAAAAACCTTTATTTTGGAAGTCTCCTTAGGCACAGAGTCGATGCCAGAGGTCCAGCAGCAGTCATTCTGTAATGGGAGCTCTCCTTATCTTTCGAGTTGAACAACGATTGCAAAAATGATGTTGTTCAGAATAGGATGATGAGTACAGCTGCAGAATGTCTACTTTGTCCGATGCAGTAGGTTAAAAGAACTACGTAGGAAAGGGTGCAAGGATAATGGCAATCGGCTATTGCCTCAAGCTCCAGAATGTTCTTTTTCCCGCCTGTAATTGCGCAGTGTCTGCAGCACTACGCAACCAGAGAAAGCCCTGAGTCCTCAAGCGAGGCTTACAGTGTTGCTCTATCTATTGCTCTCACCGCAACCCTGAAATGGAGCCAACGATTAAAGACTGCAAGGGGAAACAGTTCTGTCCACAGCTGTGTGTGAGCAGCCACGCTTCTGCTTGGGAGCATGCTGGCTTTGCAGAAGATTGCCAAGCACCTGATTCTGTGCAGAATTCAGACAGGCCTCAGCGTGGGCTCCGACTGCGCGCTTAGCGGCTGCGCGCACGGGGCACGAGCCCAGCCCCCAGTCGGGGTGATGGTCCTTCAGAACCACAAAACACAGCACTGTAAGAGCCACTGCAAAGAGAAGGAATCCACCCAGCCACAACCAGCACAGGCAGCCTGCGCGCGTGCCCTGCCTGCCCTTCCATTGCTCAGCCAGCTGCCGTTGGGAACCGGGCTCCGGCTCCTGCTGGGAGAAGCGGCTGCTCTTTCGGCAGCAGGCCCGGCCTGCCTTGGGCGCTGTCGTTGAGTAAGGGAGGCCTGGGAGGCCGTGGCTCGGCGTCAAGGGGGAAGCCTGTGTCACGGCGGCAGCTGCTCCGTGGGCTACGGAGCGCAGCACTGGCAGCCCACCGTGCTGCCAGAGGGCAGCTATTGTGAGGTCGGCGATGACATCGCTGCCCGGTGACTGTGGTGTCACACTGCAGCAGAGGGCCAGCGGCCCTGGGCTCACTTTGCCGCCTGAGCGGTGAGCGTCGCGTCCTCCTCCTTTGCAGCGGGGCAGGGTCGACTTGTTCTGAGGTACCCCAGGTACCACAGGGCGCTGACAATGGCTTCTGCATGGGAGAGGAAGTGCTACTATTCAGATCTGGGGAAGAAAGTGGTGTTCCTTCCCAACCTCCTTCTCTGTGAGGAGTTCACGAAGGACACTGGTTACCCGCAATCTCTTGAGGGAGTGCTGCTGCTGGCGGATGTCTCAGGTGGGCTGGGCGTGGCGGAGCACCCACAGACACGAGCCCTGGGGACACTCCAGGCCTTCGCGAGGCCTGCCCCAAGGCAGGGTGGCCATCTTGCCACTGCGCAGGCCTGCTGCCGTGCTGCCCAAAGAGCGGGCGGCTTCTCTCCTGCGCCGTCAGCCATGGTTGTGACGAGCGCTCAGCCGGGGCTGGGGAAGGGGTGAGCGACAGGTGCAACGCGGACGTCTCCTGATCTGTGAGTGTCCTTCCGGCAGGTTTCACTGCCTTGGCAGAGAAGTGTGTCCAGCAGAATGGACCAGAGAGAGGAGCTGAGGAGCTGGCGCATGTCCTCAACGCCTACATGGGGGACATTCTGGAGGGTAAGAGCCGTGCTGCTGGGCTGTCGGGCATCGAGCCCCGAGGCTGGCTCACTGTGGAGAGAGCTGTGCTGGGCCGCCCGCCCCTGCCTCCCTGAAGGGGCGAGGAGCCGGAGCCACGCTGTCTTTGATGTGGCTTGGCACCAGGACAAGAGGTGGTGGGCACAAACTGAAAGGCGGGAGGCTCTGCTGGGCAGGAAGGCCTCTGCGGCGAGGCTGACTGAGCTGCGGCACAGGTTGCCCAGGAAGGCCGGCCGATCTGCCCACCCAGAGGTCCTCACAAGGCCTGGGGATGTGGCCCTGGGCAAGAGGCTCTGGGTGGCTCTGCTTGAGTGGAGCGGTGCGCAGACTCTCTCCACAGGTGCCCTCCTGCTCTCACCATGCTGCGCACCGTATCTCGAGGCGCTGCCTCCCTGCTGGCTGTGCAGCTTCCAGGGCTGTGGCCGCAGCGGCCCTGGGAGCAGGGCTTTCTGGAGCCATGCACCGCCACGGTGGTCCTCTCCGGGCACAGTGGCTCTTCCCGTGGCTCCTGGAAGAAGGCATCCCCGTAACTCTGCTTTTCCTTCTCTTTGTCTGCAGTGGTGCTGGCTTTTGGAGGAGACATCCTGAAGTTTGCAGGTGTGTCCGTGGGAGGAGGCAGTGTCAGCGCTCTGCTGATGCGCAGCGTCTTCCGTGGGAGCCTCCTGGATTCCACCCTGCTTTTTGCGGAGAGCAAAGGGGAGCTGCTTTGTCTCCAGCTCTGAGCAGGGCTTCTCCAGGAGCGCTGAGGCGTGGGAGAAGCGGTGGGGGGGAGGGAGCCCTGTCTTTGAGTGCCGAGGGGCACTGGCGGTGGGAGGTGTCAGCCTCACTGCCGCCCCCCACCACCCACCCTCTTGCTCTGCTGCCCTGGTGGTCGCTGTGGCTGGCCCGGCAGATGGGAGGGGCCCCTGAGGCCAGGCTGCCCGGAGGTCCTTCAGGATGATGGCCTCCCACAGTCCCATCTTCCTCGGCACGCCGGCCAGCTGCTTGCTGCTGTCCCTGCGGCTGGGTGCAAGCCGGGGAGAGTCAGCCCCTGGGAGAGCCTTCACCTTCCCTTCCCTTTCCGCAGGGGATGCTGTGCTGGTGCTTTGGAGAGCAGCACCGCCTCAGATGCCTATGGCCATCAACGTGGCGCTGCAGTGCTCCTGGAATATCCAGAAGAAGTACGGCACCCATGACACGCACATGGGTCTCAAGCTCCACCTGAAGATAGGTATGGATGGCTCAGCCCCGGTATTCTCTAGAGCCGATGGATAGCCTCCCCTGCCAGCCTTTGCAGGGGGCGAGCAGGAGGTAGTGAGGGCAGGGGAGGCAAGGGCTCCTTCCCTGCCTGCCTCATGTCAGCTGTAGCACAGGCCCCTTGCTCCCAGTGAGGGTACCAGAGCACAGCTTGCGCTGTCCCTGGGGGCCCCAACTTCTGACCACACTGGGACGTAGATCCCAGACCCGGTCCCCAGACGGGCCCTTTTGTCCCGCTTGCCCTTTGGATAAGGGATGTGTCACCTGTGGGACGCTTCCTCAAGTTCCAGGAGCTGAACAGGCAAGGGCTGCTGCTTTTCATGGCCAGCAAAGGGGAGCCGCTTTGCCTAATGGCTTTGAGCCGGGCTTTTGCAGGCTCTCCTCGTACCACAGACAGCATGCCTGGGCAGCAGACTGTGGGCAGGGACTTGACTTGAGACATCCACAGGACCTCTTCTGTCCTCCTCTTTCTGGGTCTCCCTGTTTGCTTTTCTTCCTTTCTCTTCCCCTCACTCTCCGGAAGGCTCTTGTCTTGCTAGGCAGACACTTGCAACCCGCCTTCACGTAAACAGAGCAGACGCTGCTCAAAGCTGCTGCTCTGCTTGGCTTGTGCTGTAGGCCGCCCGGCAGTGCCAACGCACTGTCAGTGTTGGCTTTGTTTGCCCCTTTGTAGACGCCTGTTTCTGGGAGCTGTGTGGGTACGGCCCCGAAAAGGATGCCCAAGGCCCTTCCCCTCCCTGGTGCCTGTCTCCAGGTTGGGCGTCAGCTGAGCTTCTGTGCGGAGCTGGGGGCTACCGAGTTCCAAAGGCTCCCTGTGTTAACACTGCTGGTCTTTCTCTCCCCAGGGATCTCGGCCGGGATGCTCTCCTTCATATCCGTCAGAGGTGGGGATCATCAGTACTTCTTCATCTGCAGCCAGGCCCTGGACGAAGTTATCGAGGCCCAAAGCCTTTCGGCTGACTATGAAATCATGATGTCACAGACCTGCTGGGAGCTGTGTGGGCAGCAACGAATCAAGGCCGAATCTATTGCTGGCAGAAGTGCCGTGAAGGTGGGTGAATGGTGTGGCCTCGAGCCCTTTGGAAGACCTGCACCTGGGCGGGGAGCGGCTGAGAGGCTGAATGTGGCCACAGCCCTAACCATAAGCTTAGGCAGAGAGCCAAGGCTGCTTCCCTTGCGCCACAGCTGAAAGTCCAGGGAGGTGGGCTTGCCCTTGTCTGCGAAGTGAGAGTGGAGGGGCAGGCCGTGTGCCCTGGGGCTTCTGGGGAGGGCAGTGGCATTCCTTTCCTCCTGTGTGTCTTCAGGTTGTGAGAATGATGCACTTAGCTCACCAAGAATACCAAGATGCTGTAGGCCAGCTGAACATGTACAGAGGGGATTGGCATTTGGAAGGGACGGGTGAGTTCCTTGTCCTGAGACTGGCTGGAAAGCTGGGTCCTGCCTGCTTCAGTCGGGAACAGGAGCAAGCACAGAAGAATCTTTCCCTTGCTGTGTCCAGCTTCCCAAGCCCCTGTAGTCCTGCCCTGCCAGTGACGGCCTGTGTTTCCTTTCCTTAGCCCTCCAAAGGCCGGTTCTTAGGAGCTCTGGTGATCCTGAAGTGGCAGCGAGGCTGGAGAAGCACATATCGACAGCAGTTCTCCACAAGGTATGGCCACTACTGCTGGCGGCTGCGTGTAGGGAGGGCAGGAGACGGCGTGGAGCCCTCGGGAAAACGGGCAGCCAGAGGGAAGTGCAGTCTGAGCCGAGAGCCCGAGGAAAAGAGATGCCAGGGTCGCTGGGGCCAGACGTGCCCGGAAGCTGTCCCTTTGTGCTGCTCCTCTGAGAGACACGGATGGTGGGAGGCAGACTTCCCTGTCTTCTGCATGGCTGTAGTTTTGGAGGTTGCACAGGCCTGGGGGAGGGACAAGATCCCGCTCAGGTGCCTAGAGGATGGCAAAGAGTCTCCCCTCGTGCCTGCACGTGTCACAGGACAGCGTTGCCAGAGCAGCTTGGTGCCAGGACTCAGTACCTGGGAAGACTTCCCCATCCTCCAGTAGCACCTGGTGTTGCCAGCACGCCCGCTGTCCCCTGGTGCCTGCTCTGGGCCCAGAGAAGCCCCCAGGAGAGCAGGCTGGCAAAGCTGATGTGCTCGTCTCTTGCAGCTTCGTCAGGACGTGCCACTGGAGCTGTGCTCTGAGCTACGGCCGGTCACCGCCGTCTTCGTCCGTTTGCAGTTTCCTCACACGATCAGCGTAGCGGAGCTCAGCAGCAGCCTCAGTGATAGCAGCAGTATGATTTCAGAAATCATCAGCCCTCACAAGGGTGAAATCAACAAAACTCTTCTGTTTGACAAAGTGAGTGCATGATAGCCATCCTGTCCCCAGGATGCCTCTGTCTGTTTGGCAGCACGGGAATGGGAAGCAGCTCTGCCGTGCTGCTGGCATCTGTGGCTGTGGGTTGACCTGAAGCTCCGCTGGTCTCCCCGATGCCTCTGGCAGAATGCATCAGCTGCTGGCCATCGCTATTGTAAAACAAGACGCACTGCACCTCTTCTTTGCAGGGCTGCACCTTTCTCTGCGTGTTTGGATTTCCTGGAGAAAAATTGGCCTGTGAGAGCACCCACACCTTGGAATGTGCTATGCAGATCTTCCGCAAGGCCTCCACGGGGCTGAGAAAACTCCAGTGAGTGCATGGGACGGGGTGTGTGTGCTGCCTGGGATGGCAGGAGGGGACTGATGAGCAAGAGACGGGCCCCCCTGGCTCGTCCTGCTTCGCCCCTGGTGGGAAGGAGGCAGCGTCTCAGAGGTGGCAGGTTAGCCCACGGCAGCCAGGCACAGTCCCCCCAGGTGCTGCCTGCCAGTCACCGTGCCGGAGCGAGCCCTCACCAGGGCACACAGCTCCTCAGTGCCAGAGGCAGGCTCCTCTGGGCAATGGGGCCAGGAACAAGGCCTGGGCCCGGTCCCTCGACCTCCAGTCACTGCCATTGTAGGTAGTGTGCAGGCCGTACCTGCTAGCCTTCCCACTAAGGAGAAGAGCCTGTGGCCTGGCACAGGTTGCAGCCATCAGGCCTTGGGAAAGGGCCCAGTGGTCTCGCGTGTGCCCTACCTACGTCCCCTGCCGCCGGGGCGAGTTGCTCCGCAAGCTCTCCTCGTCCCCAAGACCCATGTGGTGCGTTTGTGGTCCCAGTGCCGAGGAGGGGAGAGGTGGGAAGGGATGGAATAGGGCGAGCAGGACGGCAGCAGGGCTGCTGCTGAATGCACGTTACTCTCTCTGTGTGCCAGGCAAGTTTCTGTCGGGGTCAGCAGCGGGACGGCGTTCTGCGGCCTCACTGGCCATCCCGAGAGGTGTGAACACACAGGTAGGGCTCCTTTGTCTTAGGAATGTGAGGCTGGCATGGGTCTGCTTCAGCCCGTCAGACTGGACAAGGCAGATGGGCTGAGGCAAGGACACGGTGCAGCCCGCTGGGGCCTTGGGGCGGGAGGATGGGCTCAGAGACATGTGGTTCCCTTTGGGTCCACTTGCCCTGCATTTGGGTAGTCCGGCGCCCGGGAGGGGAGGTTGCCCTTGGCCTTGAAGGTTTCCCAACTGCGCTGACGTATGCTCTTTCTGTGTGGCAGCCCTTGGCTTTAAGGTGAATTTGGCCGCCCGCATGTTGATGGCCTACCCAGGGATGGTGTCCTGTGATGCAGAGACCCACGCGGCCTCTCGCCTGCCCAGCTACTGCTTCAAAGAGTTGCCACAGAGAGACATGAAAGGTGTTACCAATCCCGTCACCACCTACCAATACATGGGGATCACCGAGCAGTAAGTGTTCTCTGAGCTGTGCAAGTGAGGGGAGAGGGGCCTCAAGGGTACAGCCTTGGCTGGCAGAGAGGAGTTCTGCAGTGAGACCAGGCTGGTCTCCCACAGACCTCCCTTGCCCGTGGCTGAGAAGATCGGAAGCCCTGGTGTGGGTCTGCTTTCTGCCTCTCTGCCCTTGCGCCTCTTGCTGCTAAGAGAGTGCAAGCGATAGCACTGGGTTGGGGAAGACTGGCCTGGCTTTGGAGACACAGGCTAGCCTTGTGGGCTTTGTCAGAGCAGCTTTCCTCTGAGCTTGCTGTGCTGTGCTTTTTTCCACCATGTGTATGACTAAGCCAGCAGGTCATTCTGCTGCATGGGGTGGGTTTTTTTCCCCAGCTGCTTCCCAGCAGGAAGCTGTGGGTCAGTCGTATTCCACTGGGGAAAGATGGGCTGCTGACATGCTCTGCCTCCTCCTGTCTTCCTCCTTCCTGTCTTTGACCTCCTTGTTGGAAGGCCTTCTGAACGTGAATGCTACCGTCTCTTGGAAACCCCTGCAAGACTGGAGGCAAAGGTGCCAGCAGCTTGGGCATCCCAAGCCACTGAGAGAGACACAGGTCCTTGTTTCCAAGAGGCCTGTTTTGCTTGTCCAGGCTGGCAGAGCAGTCAAGCTAGCCAGCAGTGCAGCCTGGCTTCTTTCCTCCTCTTGGATTTTTTTGGTTGTTGCATCCAGCAAGGGACTTTTGTTAGTTTCAGCTGTCCTGCCGTGGCTGCTGGACTTCTTTATGCTTGAAGCTGTCCTAGTGTGCCACCTTGAGCTTTGGCCAGGGGAATGGGCTCTGGGTAACATGCTGCTCGAGAGAGGCGTCTCCCAGCCCTCCACAGCAGGCTCTGGGTGCAATAGCTTCTGGCCAACTAAGTGACTTTTTTTTCTCCCCCTTCTAGCCAAAATGACATGGGCCTTGCCAGGGAGAGGTCGCACTACGGTCCCTTGCTGGGTAGGTGGAGAACTCATCTGAAGCCCAATTGCTTCCCTTTGCCCAGTGCCAGGGGCTGTGCTGTGTGCTGCCCTGGCATGCAGCTGAGCCCCATGCAGCCGCTTGCTCGCTCCCTCCCTCTCTGCTGCGGGACAGGGGAGAGAACTGGAGGGGCTCCCCGCTTTTCGGCATGCTGCAGCAGCTCATTTTCTTGTGGATCTGCACAGGTCGCGAGGCGGAGATCGAAACCTTTGATTGCTGCTTGGAGGCCTATGAGCTTTTGGAAGAAGCACAGATCCTGGCATTTGTGGGCATTCCAGGCTCTGGAAAGAGCCACTTACTTGCCGAGCTGGCCGTTTTAGACCGGGCTACTAAGTACAAGTAAGCACTTTGGAGCTGTCACTTTGGCACCCCTCCCCTGCCTGTCCCTGCTGTTTATGAAACACTGCAGTCCGTCCGGGTGCCACTGTACCCAGCCCTTGCGCTGCAGCCTCCTAAAAAAGCCTACTGCAGACCCTCCCGAGCAGCACCCGCCTTCTCGGAGAGTTCCAGCTGGCTTTGTGAGCCACTGCTTTTCTCCTTTGTCCCTGGGCCAAGCACAAAGGGACGGGAAGAGCTCCAGCTCTGGAGCTGAGGGCAAGCAAGGTGGCCCGTCTCAGAAGCACTGCTTGCCCTCTGCCTGTTTTCCAGAAGGAGCACTGGGGCAGAAAAGCCTTGCTGCGGGCTGGGCGGCAGGCGCAGACCTGCCACCTGCTGAGGCCTCCTTCTTAGCCCAATGAGGGCCGCTGCAGGGCGCGCGTAGTGTGACCCGGGCTGACCTAGAGGCCGTGGTCACCCCCCCAGTGATCGGCCTGCAGCCGCCCCTCAGGACTCTTTCTCATCCTATAAGTGGAAAGCTTGGTCCTCTCCAGGAAGCACTTGGAGATGGGTGGCCGAAGAGTCCTGCTTTCCTCTGCGGAAAGAACCAGGCGCCTCACCCATCGAGCACTGCTGTCTGGGCAGGCTTGAGCTACCAGGAGGCAATTCTGGATCTCAGTGCCTTCCGCTCTTGCACCGCAGGGTCAACACTATGGAATTGACAGAGGACAACACGAAGCAGCCGTTCTCTGCCATCCGTCTACTGGTGGCCAGGGCGCTGGGTCTCCAGGGTGATGAAACCTCCAGTGACAGGCAGCGCACTCTGCAGACCCTGCTCCAAGACACAGTGGAAGAGAGCAGCTATTGCCTGCTAAACGATGTTTTCTCAGTTGAGGTGAGAGTGAGAGGCTGTCTTGCTCGGATGCTCCGCTGGGAGTGGCTCAGCTCAGGGCTGGGACTTGTGAAGGCCGTACCCCACCTGTCTGATTCCTGTGCCCCTGTGCATGGGGTGCTCCCGTGCTGTGCACGTGCCCCGTGTCTTGTTCAGCACCCTGGAAAAGGCACTGAAAAGGGGCTGGTGCTGGCCACATGAAAAAGCAGAGGCATTTTGCTCTGCAGTCTTGCTCTGGGAGATAGGTGTGCCCAGATCTGCAGCAATGTTCTTCTCTGTCTTTCCTGGACAGTTTCCCATCACGGACGAGGTCTCCGAGATGTGTTCCGCTGAACGGGCCAGCGTGTTCCACCTGACTTGTACACAAGTGCTACAGAAGGTGAGCACGTCTCCTCCCTTCTGCCTCACAGCAGGCAAACAACTGTGCCAGCTCTGCGCTGGAGCTGCCAGAGAGGGCGGCAGGACGATGCACCTGGGTCATGGCCCTCCAGGAACTTTGCCCAAGTTCTCTCCTTCTGCCGGGCAACTGATGTTAGAGGAGACTCTGCGGTCTCGCAGAAACAAAGTTGGTAAACTCCTGGAGAAGGAGGTGGCTGGGGAGAGACTTCTTAATATCCCCTTGTCTCGAGAGCGAGAAAGGTTGTGTGTCGTCCCTGGAAGACACTCAAGAATCCACCAGATTCCACTCAGAACCACCTTTTTTTCAGGTGCTTGGGGGGAAATACGGCATATTTTTCATCGACAACGCCCACTTCCTCGACACTAGGTCCTGGTCTATCATGTGGCCCCTGCTTCAAAGTGTCACGGTCTTTATGGTCATGAGCTTAGTTCCGGGCCATGACAGAACAGAGAGCATTCTCAAAGCTGCCGCAGACTGCAAGACATCTGAGACGATCACTTGTGTTCGTCTGGAAGGGCTGAAAGCTTCAGCTGTAGTGCAGAAAGCCTGCCAGGACCTTGGAGTGAGCAGCATCCCCAGGGAGCTAGCAAGGTAAGCCCAAGCCTGGGGAGCTCTTCTGGAGGGGTTGCACTTACGCTGACCACGGCTGGGAAGCGCCCTGCCAAAAGGGGGTTGATGGGTATGGGTCTCTCCTCAAGCCTGGCCGTAGCAGGTGGGGGCTAAGAATGGGCAACTGCCACGAGGCAGCAGAGTCTGGATGGTGTCAGCCCTTTGCTGTTGCCGTGGCTTTCCGTTCTGTGCTTTGGGCATTGTCCATCAGCCTTTCCTGATGGATTCCCCGGAATGCTGTAGTGGGGGGGGCCCCAGACACCCAAGCCCCTTCCAGAAGCCAGGTTTAGCCATGTTGAAGAGGCTGGTCAGCCTGCGAGGTCTGAACGACTCACCGCCCATCCGAACTGTGCTGCACCTTACTTCCTTGCTGTGGGTTGTGCTCCTGCCCAGGTTCCTGATCCAGAGAAGCGCTGGCATCCCATATTACTGTGAGGAACTGCTGCGCTACCTGCGATGCAACAACATGCTCTTGTTGCACACTGGGAGGCCGGACGAAGGACAGGACGACTGGCAGAGCCTGATTGGTAAGCACCCTTGTTGCCGATCAGCCGTTCGCTGTGGCGCATCCTCTCCCACACAGCCGTGCCCTGTGTCTCCCCAGTGACTCTGGGCGGAGGCTGACCCTGCAGCAGGGCAGAACTTGCCACGGCAGAGGTGTGGGCTGCTGCGCACCTTGCTGCTCCCTTGGCAAAACACCAGCTCAGCTCCTGTGAGAGCAAAGCCCACCTGGGGGAGCGGGAAGCTGCTCCAAAACCTCAAGTCCTCACAAGGGCCTTGGGAACTGAAGAGCACGGTGGGAATGCCACTGCAAGAGCAATGCCAAGCAGAGCATCATTGCTTAGGGGCAGCCTGCGCGGGCTTTGCCTTCTGGAGCATCAGTGGCAACTTCCCTGGCTCTGGAGGTAGTGCTGTTGAAAGGCAGCATCACCACCACATTCTGTCGTGCAACGTTCATTCTCCATCTGAGGAGCCCAGAACTTTTGACTGAACGGCGTTTGCTCTGAAGCTGGTGTGAAGACAGAAGAGAGCTGGGCGGGCAATGCAAATGAAAGCTTGCATTGGGAATCGACCGGCTTGCCCTGTTTGCCGGCCCTGCTCAGTGCACGCCAGGCAGTGTGCCTGACTATGAACAGGTACGACTTGTCGGATCTTACTCATGCTCCCCCTGTTCTTCCCATCTTCTGCAGCCAAGGCGTCACCTGCTGTCACCGCTGCCTCGAGCTCGGGTACCAGGAATGACAGCGAAAGGATCTGTACCATCAGACCAGACGTGAGCCTGGAGAACCCCATGCTGCCGGTGGCCTTGAAAGGTGAGGAGCTGAGCGGTTTGTGGCTGTGCCCCAGCTTCCTTTCCTGGGGTGCAGATAAGAGAGGCTGGGCACCTGTGCGCTGCAGAGCTGCTCTCTCAGCCTCGGGGCTCTGCCAGGAAGGTGACTCCAGCCCAAGCAGGAAGAGTCCTGCGCTTTTGCGGGCTGTGGTTTTCCTCTGTGGGCAGTAGACCAGCTCGGAGCCGACTGTGCGCTGCACACCATGGGTGGGGGAACTCCGAGTCCAGCTGTGGGCTGGTGAGAATGTTCTGTGCTCTCTGTGTGCACTGCTGGGCACGAACCCAGTGCAGATCTAGTAGGTCGCACAGTGGGACACACGTACCTGCTGGCTGTGCCTTCCCCATCGTTGGTCGGGAACATTTGTCTGAGTGTCTCTGCTTTCCCTGGCTCCTGTGGCCTGTGAGTGTGAGAGGAGCAGAGCCATCTTGAAGATACTGATCCTGGGCTCTGGTTGCCCAGCGGGTTCCATCCTGGGGAGAGGAGGCCAAAGCCTTCCCCGTTTCCTCTGGAGAAACCGTCCAGCTTCTCCAACCTCAGGCTCAGGGACAGGCAAGACGAAGACGTGTTGCTTCTTCTTGGCAGAGATTGCGCTGGCTGAGCTGGATCGGATCAATCTGGAGAAGCAGATGGTTCTGAAGTTTGCAGCCGTCATAGGGCCGGTGTTTACCACCCAGCAGCTGGTTCACATTATTCCCAGTAGCAAAAGGCACGGGATTAATTCACTGCTGGACAAGCTGGTGGAGGACAACATCCTGAAGCAACTGGACATCGAGAAGCCAGAAGGCAAGTGAGGTGCTACATAGGGGCTGCCCACCTCTGGGCAGGCAAGAAGCGGTGGTGCAGCGTGGATCCAGGAGCAGTGTGGCTCCACAGGGCCCTGCTCACCTAGCTTGGTGCAGAGGGAAATTCTCAGTGGCTGCTGGAAGAGCCTCTGCCACCGTGCTTGCAGGCAGAGCATAGGCTGGGCTCAGACAGCAGCACGCAGCAAAGTGTGGCCTTTGCCCCAGCTGGGGCGGCCTGGAGGTCTGGCCCCAGCTTTGTCTGAGGCCAGGACTCATTGCCTTGCAGGGATGAAGAGGCCCTCTGTGAGCAGGGAGACCGTGCAGCCGAAGTCTAAAATCCTGGCCTTTTGCAGCCCTCTGCTGTGGGAGGCAACTTACAAGCTGTGGCCCACGAGGCAGAAGATCAGCATTCACTGTCAGTGTGCTGCCTTCCTGGAGAGGCATGCACACAAATGCCGGAGGTGCCACGAAGGGGACTTTGTGGCCTTCCACCGCTTTGGCATCTCCAGCCCCCAGGAGCAGGGGAGCTGCCAGGGCTCTGCTGAGAAGGACAACTGGAGCAGCTGGGAGGCCTTGGTAGTTGCTGGAGAACACCTGCGGAGGGCTAGGACCCTCCCTGCAGAGGGGATTCTGGCAGAAGGCGAGCACACAACGCTGCGGGCCAAGGACAGTGGCCAGTGCTGCCAGTGTGAAGCCATCGCCGAAGCCGTGCTTGTGCCCCTGGCTCGCCACTACACAGCCATGGGCAATGCTTCCCAGGCCTTCTACTACCTGCTGGAGTCTGCGGCTGCCTACCTGCACGTCTCCAACAGCTCCATGGTGAGTCACCCTGCTTGCCAGCACGAGCTGCCTTAGCACGGAGGAGGACTGACTCCTTCGGTGCCCGTGCTCTGAGCCCACAGGACTGTGTTAGGGCAGGCATGACCAGGAGGAACACGGGCCCTGCTAAGGCAGATGCTGCAGGAGGCAACAGGGAAGGATGGGGCTGGCCAGGGGCCAATGCTCACCTGCTGTTTGTGTTGCTTGTTCAAAGGCCTTCATGAAGCTGAATGAAGCGGAGGTCCTGAGGAGCTCCCTAGAGAAAAAAAGGAATGCCGTAGACCGCTTTGAGGAGGCCATCTTCTTCAGCCTCAAAGGAGAGGTAAAGAGGCAGTGGAAGGGTGTCCAGAGGCATGCAGCCAGATGCTTTCCCTGCTGGCAGGGAATACTCCTGCCACAGCCAGTCCCTGGTCCATTTCTGCAGACTCGGCAGGACTTGGGCAAGTCCTCTGCATCTGCATGCCTCCCTCTTCCTGTGCAGGTCTGCAGGAGCATGGGATGTGTCAAGCTGGCCAGGAAAATGAGCAGGCAGGCGCTAAGCCTGCTGGAAAAGCGTTTCCCCCAGAGCCGTGCTGGGGCCTTTGTCAAGTCTCTGTGGGAAAGGTTGCAGCAGATTTCTCAGGCCACAGGCAGAGCGTCCTTCCTTCCGCAGGAGGCTCGGTAAGCAGCAGAAGGGACAAGCAGCAGAGAGGAAGAGCCGTTTTGTACCTGATCCATGACACAGGCCTGCCCATTCCCAAGCCTTAGCAGGACCGAGGCATTCAGGCCTGATGCCAGGATGGTAGAGCCAGGAATGGCGCAGCCTCCCTGTGTGCAGCATGGGAGAAGAATGCACACCTTTGGGTAAAAAGCAGCTTGTGCTGAGGGATGCACCTGTGGTGCCGCAGTGCCAGCAGCACTTCTTCCTTTGCCCCCTTCATCCCGGCTGCCCTCCTGGCATCAGCTCCCTTCCTCCAGCAGTGTAGCCATCTAGCCCCGCCGCTCTGCTTTCCCTTGCCCTGTCTGACTCAGTGCTCCACAGCCATGCCTCTGGGCCCAACGGTTTCTCTTGTGTGGCAGGAGGAAGAAACAAGCCTGGCTGCTTCACCGGAGCAGATGCCTCTCCTTGCTCCAGGACCTCTACAGCCAGGAGGGCACATCTGCTGGACAGAGATTCTCCCGCCTGGCAGCACTCATGAAGGCTAACACGGACAGGAAGATGCACTCCTACCAGGCAGCAGACGCCAACGCTGGACAACTTTGAATCACAGAATCACAGAATTGTAGGGGTTGGAAGGGACCTCCAGGGATCATCGAGTCCAACCCCCCTGCCAAAGCAGGTTCCCTACAGCAGGTCGCACAGGTAGGCATCCAGGCAGGTCTGGAACATCTCCAGAGAAGGAGACTCCACCACCACCCTGGGCAGCCTGTGCCAGTGCTCCGTCACCTCACTGTAAAGAAGTTCTTGCGCACATTTGTGCGGAACTTCCTGTGCTGCAGTTTCCGGCCATTTCCCCTTGTCCTGTCGCCATTCACCACTGAAAAGAGTCCAGCCTCGCCATTCTGCCCCCCACACCTTAGATACTTATAGACCTGGATCAGGTCCCCTCTCAGTCTCCTTTTCTCAAGGCTGAACAGACCCAGTTCACTCAGCCTTTCTTCATAGGAGAGATGCTCCAGGCCCTTCACCATCTTCGTGGCCCTCCGCTGAATGAAGGAAAACAAGTGAGGTTAAAAGCTATGTGCCTTCATGGGTGCTGGATCAGCAGCTACAGATCTGACCTTGCTAATCCAGCTTTTGGCTGCCAATAACTGATGCTTTACTGCAGACTTGGACCGTTAGTGCAGACAGCGGGTCTCCTGTTTCTCCAGGTAACGTCGTTAGCGACCCTATGTGTGCAGTGCAGTGTGTGACAGCTGGCTAGGACAATAAACCACAAATTAACAAGGAGGCAACAGATGGAGGAAGGAGTCGTAGCCTATAAGACAGCCAGCCAAAGCCAGCCAGCTGTCCTCCAACTGACTCACGTCAAAAAGCACACAGTGAGGAAGAGAACAGCCTTCATCAAAAAGACCACCAGACCACCACCGAGAGCTACGACGCGTGTGCAGACTCTCACACTGGACAACAACTCCCCTTCACCTACTCTATCTTAATAAAATTGTTGCTTCCTTATGTTCGTGCTTTTTCGCCTTTCTTGAGATCTGGAAAATGTAAGAACATTGAATTTTCACGTGCTTTCTAGAAAAAATACGTCTTTCTAAACACAGGTTTTGTCGCTCAGGAAAGCCAAGCTATGAGTAGGTTTGCCTTTCCAAGTAGAAAAGCATCTTCTGAAATTCATTTCAACACATCTCTGGGGTTTTGCCAGTTAGGTAGCATTTGGGCTCGCAATACAGAGAAGCAAGACTGATAAATCGGTAGCCAGGCTTATACTTGGGGTCTGTCTTTGATCAGTGGAATTGCCCTCTGTGTTAGGAAGTGGACAGATTCCACGCACATGCCGTGCAATCTCATCCAAGGTGACTTGCTCCGTAACTTTCCCTGGTAGCGAGGTCAGGCTAACGGGCCTATAGTTCCCCGGATCCTCCTTACGGCCCTCCTTTTGATGCACCCAGATTCTCGGAGAAAACTCCCTGGGTCGACACATCCACCACAGAGCAGGGAGAGAGCCCCGGCTGTATGATGCGTGGCTTTGGAAGGAACGAGACAAAATGTTTGGACGGTATAAGAAAGTGTCTCGGTTAATGGTATGTGGAAGCATAGTTGAGTGTAGGTGGAAGCGTAACTGAGGGTACGAATAGCGGAACAGTTGAAAAGGCAAAAGGGTGGAAGGGAAAGTGAGTTTATCTGCACTGGCACGAGAGCAACCCCTGCAGAACACTAGGAGAGAGAGAGCGCCAGGGCCGGAAACTGCTGCTGTAAGCAGCCTTGTTCACAAAAGGGGTGAGGGGCACTGGAAGTGAGGACAGCCTTCCAGGAAAGCTAGAGGGCCGTGCCCAGTGGGCAGTGGTGAATGGAGTCCAGTTGGCGACCTGTTTCAAGTGGTGTCCCCCGGGGGTCGGTACTGGGGCCCATCTTGTTTAATGTCTTTATTGATGACCTGGATGAAAGGATTGAGTGCGCCCTCAGTAAGTTTGCAGATGACACCAAGCTGGGAGGTGGTGTCGATCTGCCGGAGGGTAGGGAGGCCCTCCAGAGGGATTTAGACAGGCTGGACCGCTGGGCTGAGGTGAACGGGATGAGGTTCAACAAGGCCAAGTGTCGCGTCCTGCACTTTGGGCACAACAACCCCATGCAGCGTTATAGGCTTGGGGATGAGTGGCTGGATGAGTGTGAAGAAGAGAGGGACCCGAGGGTGCTGGTTGATGCTCGGCTGAACACGAGCCAGCACTGTGCCCAGGTGGCCGAGGGGGCCAACGGCATCCTGGCCTGCATTAGAAATAGTGTGGCCAGCAGGAGCAGGGATGTCAGAAAGGTAAGACTGTACAGGACACTGGAAATAAGACGGTGGATCAGGCGGCAGAACAGGCCTTTTAAGGAGAAGGCTTTAATTCCAGACGGTAAACTTGAAATGTCTGAACCTGAGTCGGAACCTGTAAAATGTTCTAGAGAGGATGGGAATCTAGTTGATGATTAAGAAGGGAAGGGAGCAAGCTGACCGATGGGTGCGTGGACACACTGGTATGTCCCTTAGTATTTTCGGGAAACAGGTTCTGAGGGAGGACAACGAAACATACTGGGGGAACAGACACAACCAGGTACGATCCTAGTACCAGGAATAGAGAACAAGTGGGCCTGTTGGGAAAGAGAACCTTCCAGGGCAACAATGGCAACTGCTTCCTCGGAACTCCCAAGAAAAGGGGGGTATCGCTGTACGTTGGTACTGACTGACACCTCTCCAGGGTGGTCGGAGGCGTTCCCCTGTAGGACTAGTAAGGCACGTGAGGTGACTAAAGTAGCGTTCCAGGAGGCTATTCCAAGATCTGGGCTCCCGTCAACTGTCTCCTCAGATTGCAAAGGTGATACAACGAGTAAGCGGGCTGCTGGGAATTCATCGGCAGCTACATACCCTCGCTTATCCTGCAAAGCAGCTGGGATCAATCAAAGTATAACATCAAAACCTTTTTAAAAACCTTTATTTTGGAAGTCTCCTTAGGCACAGAGTCGATGCCAGAGGTCCAGCAGCAGTCATTCTGTAATGGGAGCTCTCCTTATCTTTCGAGTTGAACAACAATTGCAAAAATGATGTTGTTCAGAATAGGATGATGAGTACAGCTGCAGAATGTCTACTTTGTCCGATGCAGTAGGTTAAAAGAACTACATAGGAAAGGGTGCAAGGATAATGGCAATCGGCTATTGCCTCAAGCTCCAGAATGTTCTTTTTCCCGCCTGTAATTGCGCAGTGTCTGCAGCACTACGCAACCAGAGAAAGCCCTGAGTCCTCAAGCGAGGCTTACAGTGTTGCTCTATCTATTGCTCTCACCGCAACCCTGAAATGGAGCCAACGATTAAAGACTGCAAGGAGAAACAGTTCTGTCCACAGCTGTGTGTGAGCAGCCACGCTTCTGCTTGGGAGCAGAAAGAGAAAGAGGTCCAAGATGACTAGAGACTTGTCAGTGTCTGACCTACAAGAAGGGTCCGGATTATGATCCAGGAAACTACAGGCCTGTCAGCTTGACCTCGGTACCGGGGAAAGTCATGGAGTAGATCATCTTGAGTGCAATCAGGAGGCATGTGAAGGACAACCAGGGTCTCAGGCCAAGTCTGCTGGAGCTAATGAATGGCATATCCTTCTTGATCAACCTGATCTCCTATGACTAGTGATCCACCTAGTGGATGAGGGAAAGGCTGTAGATGTACTCTACCTAGACAATAGGGAAGCCTTTGACACTGTCTTGCACAGTATTCTCCTGGAGAAGTTGGCAGCCCGTGGTTTCGACAGCTGTGATCTCCACTGGGTAAAAAACTGACTTGGTCCAGAAAGTAGCATGAAGAAAGTTAATCAGCTGGTGACAGATCACTAGGGGTGTTCTCCAAGGGGTCAGCACTGGGCAAGCACTGTATAA